GGGCGGGCGGGCGGGGGTCCCCTCGCGGAGGGCGCCTGGGGGGGCCGGGCGGGCGTCGGCGACCCCCAAACTCTCTGCCGTTGCTCCAGGCCGCCTTCTCGCTGGCGAAGATCCTGGAGGCGACGTCGGCCGTGTCGGCCCAGGTGGAGGAGCTCGCCACCAAGTGCTCGGAGAACGCCCGGTTCCTCAGAACATGGCGGGACCTGCTGAGGGAGGGGTACGAGTCCCTGAAGCCCAGCGGCTGACCCTGCCCCCGCGGCCGCTCGGCCGGGTCGCGGGGGGGTCACGCACACCCCGCTTGTGTCGGACTGGAGCGCGGGGGTTTTTGAACCACCGTTTTTAGGGAGTTCGCGTGGGTTTTTGTTTTCCCTCAGCAGCTCCCCGTGAGCCCGCGGTTCTTTCAGAAATACTTGCCGACTTGTATGGATGTCGTGTGTGAGTCACCGAGCAAAATAACTTTGTTTAGGGAATCGGTTGTGATTTTTAGACTCTTCTGTTGCAGCTCAAGCGATCTCGTAAATGAAACGCTCTCCCCCCTTTTTCGTTTTCCTTGTCAATGCGGTGGATGCCAAGTTCGTATGTGTGGTGCGTCCAGAGCTCGTTACAGGTGAGGAAGTGGCGTCCTGCAAGGACGTATCGTCAGCCCTTCTTTTCAAGAGCTGCCACCAGCGGAAACCCTGCCACCTCCAGAGAAACTTGCTGAACTAACTTCAGTTTTTCTCTATGCACACTTTTTCTTCGTGTTGAGGATGGGATAACATGGCAAGCCCTGTATCCCAAACCTTACTATTTTTAGCAGTGTTGCAATATATTTCTGTGAAGCTGCAGACTTTTTGCAAGATGTTTGATTACTGCAAACAATTTTACGCTATCTTTTGTTGTAATAAAGTGCCTTGTGATGGACCATATACCTCTGCATGACAGAAGTTTAACAAACAAACAGCATTGTTTTATACTGATAGGATGGATTATTTTGAACTGTAAGTAAAAGCTTCCATCAGTTACAAAAGAATCTGTGAAACGCATTATCCCATGTCTCGGGAGGCACATCAGACCTTTTTCAGCCTTTGGTCCTATTTTATATCTTTGCCTTAAGCAGTTGCTAGTTAGTTAGTCTAGACCTTATTGTTAACAGAACCTTTTGGTCTGAAAGATCGCTAATGTGTAGTAAATAGCTGTACTGAAACTCCTGTATCTTTACCAGAGCAATGTGAAAAAAAGTAATGCTGAAATGCAGTGGGAGGCTGCAGAAGAACATGGTTGTACCATGATTTGTTAGTCAGCCTTATTTTTACCGGTAGAAGGACTTTTTAAAAGGCAAACTGTAGTTTTCTTATCGAAACAATAAAGATGTACAAAAAATTCTGAAATAATGAATATTCTTGTGTTACTCATAGAAACAAAGATGACATTGAATGTATCCATAATCAACTTAAGTGAAAAACAGAAGTAATGGTAAGGACAGACATCCTTGCATATCTCATCAAAAGCAGTTACAGTCGTTGAGAAGGCTTGCCCCTCAGCGTACACAAGTTCTATTAAATTGAGTTCTAATCGCCCCAGTTAAAGGCAATCCACGTGGCAGGATTTCACTTAGCTGTTTTTAATGCTGCAACCCAAAATGTTGCTAAGCAACTTGGAAAAGAAGTCGTTTTGTTCGGCAGATAATCTTTTATTTCAATAAAACATACAGTAGTGGAAACAAGATGCTTAACAATCTTCGATTTCAAGGTAATCCAAAGTTCTGTAAACAGTTGAAGTGTGAGTCACACTTTTTTTTAATTCTACTTCTTACGCTGTTAAGAAGTTAAGTGCAAACATTGGAAGTATCTTTTAACTTCATTTTAAAAACTTCGAATCATCAATGCAAAAGAAGCTTTTCTTTTACCTTTGTGGGCTTCTAGGCCACCGAACTGTGAGCACAGTGCTGTAAGAACTAGGGAAATCGTAGTAATTGGGAATGGAAAAAATTCTCTTCAGTAAGTATATGCGAAGGAACTGCCTCTAGAGGGTTCAGATGGGATAATTTTTTTTTTTTTTTTACCCTTGTAACGCTGGGAAGTAAAATAGTGCCCCAAAAAGTGCTGAATGGCTGTGCTCCTTAAATGATTTTAACTGTAATGCATCCAATCAGAAGCACAAGGTGATTAAAATGTAGATGTCATGACACCTATTAGGCGTGATAGTCTTCTATTTGGCCATCTCCCATTATTGCATGTACAGAGATAGCCATCTTAAGACTGAAATTTGTTGAAGTCTGCAAGCTGTGGGGAGCTGCTTATGGCAGCCCACTAAGAAACAGTGAGGAAAAGAGCAGCATCGAGATGTTGGGATATTCAGTCCTGTCTTTCCAGGGACTGGTGCTCTTCTGAAGGGGGAAACTTCCGCCAGCTGTAGCTGGGGGACGCTCACTTGAGAAAAAAACTTTGAGGGAAAAAAACTTCCCCCCCCTCCCACCCCCCCCCAGTTCTGTTTCTGCCTTAATTAGAACGATCATTACAATTTCAGGATTGTCTTTACATGAGTGAAATAGTTCATAAATTTTTAAAAGGAATAAAATTTTCATTTGTTTGGCTTTGACAAATATAATAAACTGGTCTAATTATGTAATTTAAATGTTTTTCTTAGGGCTGTTGCTCCCTAAAGTTTTTAAGAGGTGATGCAGCCTAAATAGAGCCAGTCAGAAATTTTGAGGAAAAAAAAAATTCTTAATGAGGAAACCAATCAACTCTTAAAAAAAATTCAGCTGTTGAAATGGGGAATTAAAAAAAAAGACGTTTAATGAAAATAGCCTTTTTTTTCTCCAAGATGGGTGATTTTGAAACATTCTGCTTTCAGGGTGAGATGTTTTAAATGACAATTCATTTTTTTTCCACACTCCTGGCTTCTGGGAGGAAAAAACCAAACAACTGGCTTCTCATTCTGATCTAGGATGACTTGTCAAAACGTCAGGTCCTGTTGTGAGATGGTAAAGTGATGGTTGTGTCAGTTCTACCTGCAAACAGACACACTGCTCCCGCTTCTTCCGGCTTTGGTTCACATGAGCCCAGGTGTCATACCTCCCTCATTTTTCCCCATTGCTGTAAAGCAGTTAAGCCCACAGATGCGAAGCTGACAGTGCGGATGTCACCGTGAAGATTCAGAATGTATTTACGTGTATGAATTTAGTCGTGTTGACTGTGTAGTCACCGAAGCGTCAGAGGAGTCTGTACAAAGCACAGGCTTCGTTAGCTTTGGTGTGATTTCGTGCATTGGCCACATCTCTACCCAAATGAATGATGGACCGTATGTTTTCTGGCTGCCTTTACCTCTTTTGGATCTTCTTTGTCTGTAATTATACCAAACCTGATGAATCATCTCTTTGAAAGGTCGTGTAGTCAAAGTGTAGAGAAGAGGATTCAAAGCACTGTTTATTGGCAGTATGAAAATCACCACCCAAGAAGTTATGGTACCTTAGGGAAGGAAAAAGAAAGGAAGCTGTAATATGCATTCCAGCGTTCGTACCCGTTAATTCATGCAAGCACTTGATGCCTGGCGAGAGGGGCGGTCATGCGCTCCTAGGCTGAGTTCATGTCACAACAGGTACTTTTCTTTTTCTTCTCACTGTTAGGCTTGCACTGCCCTCTTACCTCCCGCTGTTTCCAGGACTCCCTGCAAAACCTGACTTTTTTTACTCTCCCAGTAGTTCCGTTTAGCCCTCTTACTTTTCTGTACCATAGCTCCCTGTTTGCCCTGGCACACTTCTCGTTCTGGCTGACCCCCATTTTTGTCTCTGCTTTGCTCCCTATCTCTTCCTGTGATCTCTGTTCCCCATCCTCTTCCCACGACTAGTGACATCCAATCCTAAGGATGTCCCTGATGGCCTGTCCTCCCGTGAAACAACATCCTCCAGTCCCTCTGTCCCCTCAGAGGCTGGTTTTCTCCTCCGCACCAGTTCTTCTCCATTCTTCTCCCCACAAAGGGCATGGTATACATCCTCCTTATTTCCTGCTTGCCCTGTTGGTAAGAGTTTCCGTGTTCACACCGTCTTCCTTTCTGAAGGTTTCCTGCTCTCCTGCCTATATCAAGGTCTGTGTGCGTTTTTCCAGCACCCCCTTCTCATCCTTACCGTTTGGGAGATAAGTCAGCTTGTTACCTGAGGGGCGGGCGGAGAAGGGACAGGATTAAAGTGCTGAGAGATGTTAGCGGGTTCGCTCCACTGCATTGTTTGATTTATGAGACAATTATAGAACTGTTCCAAGCGGTACAAAAAGCTTAATTCACTCTCCCTTTCCCCGCCCCCTCTGGCTTTACGACTTTGTTGCAATATCAATACGTTCCTATTGATGCCCATAACATTGTCTACAGTTTTGGAAACATGCAGATGCTTACTTCAAAAGCTGTCATAGCATATCCCCAAAGAAAAAGAAATGCTGTCAAACGGGGTTTAAAACTTCTGTAAACTTAGACAACTATGTGATGTCTTTAATTTTATGAAATGAGTAATTACTGTTTAGTCTGGTTTATCTAATGCAGAACATTCATTTGCTGAACCCGAGACCACCCTGCCGTTCAGCAAGATTTCTTCAAGGTTTCTTGACTCAGAATACATCTGCTTCTACTTTTCACAATATTTTCTTTAAAACTTCTCAGGTGGTTTGATAATGTCAGGAAGAAGCATTTTAGAAGATTTGAAATAACTGAAAATATTTGACATAATCAATGTAACTTTCAGACACTTGAAGCGCAAGTCAGAACTTTGAAAAGGTAACTCCCAACACTCCTGGTCAGCACAAAATTCTCTGAGCTAAAATGTATTCTCGCCAACGTAGTATTGTGACATATATCTGTACGTTGAGTCTGAATCCGCTGTTGCTGATGGCACTGCTCACGTTCACCTGTTCTTTCTTAACAGGGTTTACAAGCCCTCTGTAACGAGGCCATTTTTTTCTGGCATGTACTGGTATTGCAAAGAGAAGGAAAAAAATAAAGTGCAATTTTTAATCTTTTAGGTTACGCTATTTTTACATGGGAATATATTCATAGCATAAAGAAGGTAAGCACAGCTTTATATAACTTAATGTTTTGAACTAGAAGTACCAGTTTGTAAGAGAAAGTTATATCAGGATAAGAGTCACATTCTTAAATCAAGATAGGAAACACTGTACTGTCTTGAGCTGTATTTAGGCAACAGAATCAGCAAAAGCCGTAAGATGAGAAAAGCCAGTGCAATTCAGCCTTGGTTTTCAAATACATTTTGTACATTTTACAGATATTCTATGGAGACAGGCTTGAACGATTTGAATTTTGGGGTTTTTTTGGCTGACTCAAAGGTGACTAATCTTTGATGGTTATAGTAATATAGTTCAATGCAGTAGTAAAACTATATAGTTCATTATATGTTATATATCTATATATATGTACACACAATAAAGTTCATTACAGTAATATAGTTCAATACATTCAATTCTTCTGAAGTAGAAACAACACTCTTCATACAGATACAGTGGAAACAGCCTCACAAAAGAAAGGACATACCTGGTATTTCTACTTGAAGTAAAGAAAGGAGTTTCAGAATAAAAATGGGTATCCAACATAGTGCATCGGTAAACACAATGAAGAAAAAACGTTTAGCAAGGATCATCTCTTTTTTAATATGATTCTGAATTTCAGTAGCTGTAATAGCTGTTTGGTGAACACTGTAGAACATACTCCCGTAGGAAAACACAATGATGATGAAAGCTGCCAAGTTTACACCTGTTTAAGAAGTTAAAATCAGTTATCAGTTATAATTTGACAGCATAATGGCAATTCCCCATCACCTATTTGCAGGCTGGGTAGTAAAGAAAAATGTTTCATCTAAACTGCTAGTCCCGTAGAATTAAGCAGCCAGAAGCTCTGAGCCTGTCTTCGCCCAAACACTGAATTTTCGCCTCTGCTGAGGTATTTATTTCGTTCATCGTCACTTTATAAATGGCTGCCATCTGATCCAAACTACGTAGTTCTCCTCTGGTCTTAACCATTGCTCTACTTCCCTGACAAAGTCTATTCATTCAGGAACTTAATGGTCATTAATTTCTTTCTACTTTCTCAGCCCTTCATGCATTTTAAGATACATAAGTATCTAACTAATATAGTAAAATATTCAGGCTGGAAAAAGTCTTCTAAGTGCTTACTTGAAGAGGTGTGAACATCACAGGAAAGCTATCTTATTTGTTTGAAAATTAAGTTCATTTGCAGCTCTAATTGTATATAAAGAAGAAATGCAACTTACCTAAAAAAATGACAACAGAATAAATCTGACTTGCTGAACTTTCTGATTGTTCTGAGTGAAGAGGAAAACAGACGCCATTGGTGCCATAGTAGTTCCTGAAAAATTCCTTATTGCTCAGTGGGATAAAAGCAACAGCAAACCCAATTATCCAGATAAGAACCAAAATGGAAATTGTCCTGCATTTTCTGGGCTTCAAACACCTAAAAGGATAAACTATGCAGATGTATTTTTCCAAAGTCAGGTAAGTCAACAGTAAGACCGACACCTCTGTAGACAGAATAGCCAGCGATCCCACCAATTGACAATGAATACTGTCCATCCACAACTGAGCGTGCTTGTTGTATTCTCCGCGATATTTAAGATCAAAAGCTCCAATCACAAATAAATATATTCCCATCAGACAGTCAGCACCTGTGGGCACAGTGCTTAACATCATTATTTACACATCTGAATTTCCCATTCTCTGGGTATATGTATATTGGAAAGCAGACATACACACATATATACGAGTACATATCTATAAGTCAGCTAATGTATAGATATAAAATCAATATTATAGTTGGAATGCTATTATGAATTACAATTAAGGCAGTATAATTCAGTTTATTCCTCCTTTTTTTTTTTTTAATTTTCATTTGAACTGACAGTCTATGTTTCATACTTGCTTCCAACCTGATTTTTTGAAGCTCAGATAAAATTGGTTTGCAAGTAGAAAAAGATATGGCTTCATTTATAGAATTATTCTTGCAACCCGTTTTTTCTCAGGTCTTACTCCTTTTCATATTGACATTTGGCTTAAGATCATTTGCTTTGAGTAGGGCATCTCTGCTGGATTCAAAGTTTCGTTTTGGTTTGTCCATCTTATGCTAGTTCAAAACTGATGTGCATACTCTTCTAAGACTAGTAAGTGAAGAGGAGCTGTCAACATACAGCTGAAGGCTTCTCAGGTATTTTGGCTGGAAGTTTTGTGTGGTGTTTAGACTCTTCCCATGGTTAAACAACACAGTTTCAAAATCACTGACATGCTGTATTTAGAAAGGTTGCAATCATTTTATACGCCGTTGACAATTACCTTTCAAAATGCAACTAATTGCATCTGTGAAATACTTGTAGAGTCTCCTGTATTGAGACAGGGTACTTGAGATTATGGTGACTGTACTGCCAGATGGTTCGTCCATAAACCTGTCTTCCTTTTAGGACTAAAATAAAAAAAACCTAATTCTTAATATTGGGGAGCTAGGAGGGATTGATTTTCTATATTTGCATAAGTAACATTTTGCTCATGCAAAAAATAGAATAACTGTCTCGAACACAATGTTTACACACAAAAATTGCTATTTACTCAAAAATACATGGTAAAATTTAGGTTTATGGGCCTTTGAAAAGTTTGGAATTGTATTTCTTCGTGCTGAAGAAAGTGGGATTTTGACACAATACTCGCAGCATTAGAATCAAACATGAAACCTTTGGAATTTATCAGCTGCCAGAGAGACCTCCTGGTGCCTAAGGTACAGCATTTTGTATTGTCATTCACAACAGCATGAAAGTTCAGTTAATCCAGTGCTGGAAATATGTCACTATATTATAATAACAAATATTGTACACACTATGAGCAGACTAAAACAATACTCTTTTACTTTTGCTCATGGAGTACTCACAGCAGAGAGACATTATTGAGATGGCATGGAGCTTATTCTCCGATCTGATGTAAGGCCTCATGCAGATAACAAAAATATTTCCAAAACAGGTGATGGCAGATACAACCCAGACAAACACTCTCTGTACGATGCTAGCTAAAAGGTTCTCAAGGGATGAAATCCCATCAGTATTGGGCTTACAGCTGCGCACATGAGGGGCATATCCACAGTACTGGAATTTCTTAAAATATCTGGGTGTGAGAAAGAAAAACAGATAAGAGATGGTTCTAGTTTGGTTACCAGAATATCAAAACTCTCTAGTAACTTCTCAGAAAACATGTTCTGAAAGAAGAATAATTAATTAAAAACTGTCAAATTTGACAACTGCTCGCATGCTGCTTCTCATACACTTTTGTTTTTAATTATTCAGTGTCCTGCTTTTGGCTGGGATAGAGTTAATTTCCTTCCTAGTAGCTGGTACAATGCTGGGTTTTGGATTTAGGACCAGAACAATGTTGATAACACACCGATGTTTTAGTTGTTGCTAGGTAACGCTTACACTAGCCAAGGACTTTTCAGCTCCCCATGCTCTACCGACTGAGAAGGCTGGGGGTGCACAAGAAGCTGGGAGGGGGCACAGCCAGGACAGCTGACCCAAACTGGCCAAAGGGATATTCCATACCATGGGACGTCATGCTCAGCACATAAACTGGGGGAAGCTGGCCGGGGGGGCCGCTGCTCGGGGACTGGCTGGGCATCGGTGGGTGGGTGGTGAGCAATTGCATTGTGCATCACTTGCTTTGTGTGTTCTTCTTCTTATTACTATTTTATTCCAATTATTAAACTGTTCTTAGCTCAACCCACGAGTTTTCTCACTTTTACTAAAAAAAATAGAATCATAGAATCAGTGGTGCTCAGCTGCTGGCTGAGGTCAAACCACGACATTCAGCATTCTGTAAATTGTAAAATTCAGACCAAAGAAAGCAAACTGGAATAATCTACTTAGAATCATAGAATCATAGAATCATTTAGGTTGGAAAAAACCTTTAAGATCATCAAGCCCAACCGTTAACCTAGCACTGCCAAGTCCGCCACTAAACCGTGTCCATAAGCACCACATCTACACGTCTTTTAAATACTTCCAGGGATGGTGACTCAACCACTTCCCTGGGCAGCCTGTTCCAATGCTTGACAACCCTTTCAGTGAAGAATTTTTCTAACATCCAATCTAAACCTCCCCTGGCGCAACTTGAGTTACTTACATGTGGGAAAGGTTTCTCAGGGGTCTGAACATTCTTCTCTGGATGTTTGCAATTTCAATGCCCTCCAAGCTGCTGTAAACAATATACTCTCAATAAAAGGCAATAGTAACTCAGTGTAGTAAAAGAACAAACTTTATGAGCATTTAATTGTGTTTCTATGATTATATGTATCTAGAGGTGAACTTTAATTGCATCTAGTCTGTCATCCCTTTGAAACTTGAACAGAAAGTCTGCATAAAAGCTAAAGTGGAATAAAATGAATTTCAGTTAATTCTAATAAACTTGCTGTTCTTCCAAAATCACAAAGGAGGCTCTTTTAGTACTCTCAGCAGCGCAATCTCTGATTATTATGTTGCCCTTCCAAAGTATTGTTCTACTGATGTTCTTTCATCATCTCTGGGAAAATAGTAACTTGTTCCAATAGTAATATTTTACATCTCTTCTGTTTTTTATCCTAGGGAGCGCTTTACTAGACAAACAAACCACTGCAGAAATTCAGTCCTCATTGTGTCAAGAGCAGCAGGAAGCTGGGACACAGAACACGGCAGGTAAGGGAAAACGTTGGCTTTCTTGTGACACATAGATGGGATTTCTTTTTTTTTTTTTTTTTTTAATAATATATTGAAAACAGCACTATTATTTCCCCTGCAGTGCTAGATCAGTAAAGTGTAACTCTGGAAGTTGTTCTTTTAGAACTTCAGTTTCTGCATTCTTCTCGTCCATCCCATCCACTGGTTAGGTGTGCAGCGTGTCTTCTAAATTGCGACCAGTCAGAGGTCTTTGGTTCTTCTTGTGGGGAGCCTTACTTGAATTCACCATTCAATGCTTTGAGCACAATATTCCTGTGAATTCTGAGCACATTTAGGCAAGAGTGGAGAAAGGTACCAGTCTTACTGGTTAGTTGCTTTTCAGGCTGGTGAGTAGTTTTGCTAGGAGACAAGAATAAAGCCCCAAATACGGAAACTTCTTGGTTTTATTTAAGCACTGCAATGAATCCCAGGGTGTGCTTTCCCCAGCTATTCTTACTATTTTAAACTGGGATAGAAGCAACTGGTGGTCTACAAACTGAGTGCTGAAACATACAGTTTCCTATAGATCTATCTTAAGATTTAACAACTTTCTCAACTTACAAATATGGAAGGTCGTGGTCAGTCAATTGCATGAGTTCTTTGGTGTTAAATGATAGATAAAATATATGTTATAGCCTGACTGTTACGGAGGTAATTAATTATTGTTTTCTGTGCTCAGCTGCTTATTTTCATGAAACTTGTGCATATTTAGTATTTTCAGGTCATTAGCCATTTACCAAATTTACTTGAATTTGGCCACTGGATTCCAAATCACTGTGAGGAAGTGGGACTCATCAACAAAGGCGTCTGCACTGTTGGCTACAGCTCAGGGGTCAAATCATAAACTCCTATTACGCTCCTATCCAAGGAAACATCTCTTTTTGGATCTCCACAACCACTTTGAAATGATGACCGCCAAGAACCAATGCTGTGCTCTACCAAGCTGGTTATTGCAGATGTGCAGTGAAGATGTACTTAAATCTACCGCAGGATAGTTTCAGATTTGCAAGACTGTCACTGCACTATCGCACAGTTTTAGGAAGAGCTCCGCTGGCAGAATTCAGGTTAGAGCTGCTGTGTTAGTGCACCCACAAAAACTCCCCCTAAACTCTTCTAAAAGATTTGTAAAAGTCCCACCTCCCTCTGATACGGCAGCTGAATCGTACTTGGTTTATATTGTTCTTTTCATGGTGTTAGCAGTAGATTCTGTAAGAAGGGAAATATGTCCCCAAACTTGTACATATACCAAATTCCTTTATAATTCCCGTCTTTACATATCCTAATGGTACCTGCCCATGGCGTTAATAGCCCCAACTGGGTATTGCATGACCCTTAAGCTCTGTGAACAAATTGTACAAGGTCAAATGAGGGTTGCATTAATCTTGTTCTGTAATAGCAGAAAAGAAAATGTCCTTCTCTAGCTGAATTTATGATCTCTTTTTTTAGAAAAATTTCCATTATGAAACTGATATTTTCAGGAAGGAAAATTTGAGTATTGCTAGTAATTATTTCCCAGGCTCAAATTTTTGAGGATCATCAACATAACTATAAACTATTTCATGGGCAATTTTTTTTAAAACATATTCTGGATCATGTCCTTCTGAAGGAGACGTGCATGATCACAAAGAAAATATAGCTAAAATATAAAAACTTGATACTTACAGGGATTTGAGTTTAATTAGAAAATCAAACTGGTCTATTTGTATTTTCTTGACTGGGTTGTAAGAAAGGTTCCTGTAAATACAACATAGGCATAAGTAACTTTGTACATCTTCCTTAAAGCTTGTTCAAAGATAAAGTCAAACTACATAATCCACTTGCTTTTCCAGTCCTGTAGGAAGGACTTGTACAACTGGCAGTTACAACTGCAAATAGTGACATTCATTTAGTGTTGTTCAGCTTGCTAAGCCAGTGG